GTAACAATACAATAGTTAACAAGAGCCATCCTCTCAGTGCTCAGGTCCTGGAGGAGATGGGGTGCACGAGACCCCATTGGGTTGAAGTACCTATGGATGGCATCTCCCAAGTGTATTCTAAGAAATACTAATATGCCATGGATTATTAATAACTTTTCTACCAAAGCAAAATACTAGATCACTTAGCTTCAGTATTTCTCAAAGACTTCAGGATGCAAAGATGAATAGATGTCCTCCGATCCCCATTCTGTTCATCTTTCTCCAGTAACAAAAATCTTAGCTGAGCAACTTATCTGTTCAGCTGAGACATTTTCCTCCCTTTCCTTGTAGCTGGGAACAGACATTTGACAAAGACTTAAGTGTAGGTATATGAAGAGTGATAGGTCTTGTTTACTCATGTCATTAAAATTAGCCTTTGCCTTGACTTGCTTTTTCTGCTTTCTGCTGGATGGGAGGTACATGTGATCACAAGAGCAGGAACAGCCTCTTTGTACCAGAGAGCCACTCTCCCAACACAGAGCTGCGCATCTCTGGAATGCTAGCAAGAAGAAACTTCAGTCTTGTTGAGCAACTTAGATTGGCCTCTGATTAATTTATGCACTTATACACACAATAATCTCAAAATGGATTATCTAGTATGCTAAATTTTTCATTTATATATGACTTTTATTTTTCACAGTGCTGAGGATTAAAGCTAGGGCCTTCCTTATGCTAAGCAAGTGCTTGCTGTATGTGTCCTTTAAAAAAAATTTTTGAGTCAGGGTATTATTAGTTTGCTCAGGCTACCCTTGAATTTGAAGTTTTCCAGTTAGCCTTTGGAGTTTGGTTTTCCTTAGCCTTTGGAGTAGGTGCTATAAGAATATACCAGCTTGCCTGACTGATTATGACACTAATTCTTATTTTTCAAAACAGTTGAAGATTGTGTTCCTTGAAACTCATCTGGAAAACTCTAAAAACACTTTTTGCTACATTCCCAGAATCCCAAACTATGACTCAATCCACAGCCTGCTTGTCCCTAAATCATTATCCAGGGATTTATAGAGCACAAGTTGTCCCTCCCACACACTTATATAAAAGAATCCATTTATTCCCCCAAGGTACTGACCTTACCCCCATAAAAGACCACAAAGCTGCCTACCCTATGTTTTTAATTTAGAGAGTCCAGGTCCCAAGGGCTCAGAAAGAAAGAGCTGTCAAATGCAGCTCTCAATTCCAAAAGAACAATAATAAAAGTTATAGAGAAAATGAAGAGCCACTGGTGTCTGGATTTAAATTAAAAAACAAAAGAAAAGAGGCTCCCAAGCATGAACCAGATCCATGAAATGGAAAAATCAAGCTTAGAAAACAAATCAAAGTATTCATTTGACTAAAAAAGAAGAAAAATTTACAACTAAAGTAAAAGACATTATATTTAATGGTAAAAGTTTGTCCTTTAAGGTCAGAAAGAAAATGAGAATGGTTCCTTTTTACCATTCCTTCTCCATTTCAATGTTTTTAGTGAAGTTGTAACCTAAGCAATGAAAAAAAGAAACAGCAGTAAGAGGAAATCGGATTGTATGTAGGAAAAAGTAAAATAATATTTGCAAACAATATGACCATATATATAGAATACATACATTACTATAAATAAGTATAGCAATGTTGCAAGGTACAAGATTGATACACAAATATTAGTGGTATTTTTTTCTCTAATAGCAATAAAAAAATCTAAAAATGAAATCAAGAAAAAATCTATTTACAATAGCATCAAAAAGAATAAAATACAAATAAACTTAACAAAGACAATCATGTTTTCTATTGAAAATTACAAAACAGAGTTGAGGAAATTAAAAGAATATCTAAATAAAGCGAAAGATATTTCATGGTCATCATTTGCAAGGAGGACTAATATTGTTAAGATGCCAATGCTTCCCAAAGGGTTTAGCTCAGCACTATAAGCGCCTTCCTGGTAAGCGGAGGTCATGAGTTCAATCCCCAGTACCAAAAGACAAGCAAATAAACAAACAACCCCAACAGGTTCTCCAATTGATACTATGTAATCTCTACCAAAATTCTATCTGCCTTTTCGTAGAAACCAACAAGCTGATGCTAAAATGTAATAGAAACATAAGGATCCTAGATCAGCCAAAATATCTTGCAAAAGAAGGATAAAATTGAAAGGTCCATATATGATAAGATCAAAACTAGTACAAAACTATTAACTAAGACTGTGGTGTTGGAACAGGGATAGGAATATAGATCAATGGAATAGAACTGAAAATCCATTTAAAAAAACCCTTATTGTCAGTTGATTTTCCCTAAAGGCATAAAAACACAATTCAAAGGGGGAAATACTATTTTCAATAAATTAGTGCTATGACAACTGAATATTCTCACACAAAAGAATGAAGTAGACTCCTACTCCATCACACACAAAAACTAACTCAAAAGATACCACAGACTTAAATAGGAAAATTAATACTATAAAACTCTTTAAAAGGATAACTTTATGATTTTAGATAGACTGACTAATCTAAAATGACTTCTTATATATGTCACCAAAACCATAAGCAACAAAAGAATAGATAAATTGGACTCATTAAAAAATTAAAAATTTTGTGCTTTGAATGACAAAAAATAAAAGGCAGCTCACCAAATAGGAGAGAATATTTGGAAATCGTATAATCTGATAGGAATTTGTATTCAGTACACACTTAAAATTCCTACAACTCAACATTGAAAACACAACTGTGTGTGTGTGTGTGTTAGAGACAGACAGAAAGAGAGAGAGAGAGAGAGAGAGAGAGAGAGAGAGAAAGAGAGAATGTTTATACATGTCTGTGCATTTAGACAGAGTATCAATATGTAGTGTAGGCTGGCCTTGAACACATGATCTTCCTGCCCTCAGCCTCCTGAGTGCTGAGATTACAAGTGTGTGCCACTATGCCACTAAGTGGAAAAGGCTCTAAATAGACATTTCCCTCAAAGAGATATACAAATGGCCAGCAGGTGCATGAAAAGACATTATTAGTCAAGTGGAAATGCACAGCAAAACTGTAATGATACCCACCTCAAATGAACTAGTACGGCTATATTCAAAAAGGTAAGTGAGTGTACGTGTTGATGAGAATTTGGAGAAGTCAGAACTCATACGTTCTTTGGCACTACAGAGAAATCAGAACCCCATGCATTGCTGGTGGTGCTGTAAAATGGTGCAGCTGCTTTGAAAATTTTAGCAGGGCGTGGTGGCACATGCCTGTAATTCCAGCACTCGGGAGGCTGAGGCAGGAGGATCATTGAGAGTTTGAGGCAGCTTGGACTACATACAAGATCCTGTCTCAAAATATATTTTAAAAAAAGAAAGACAGCTTTTTTGGTAGTTCCTCAAAAAGTTAACTATACAATTAACAAAGGAACAACTCCACTCCTAGTTGTATAGTTAAGAGAAATGAAAACAAATACATAAATATTTATAACAGCATTACTCACTGGCCAAAAGTAGAAACAACCAAAATGTCCATTAATAATCAATGGACTTATAAACAAAATGTAGCATATCCACACGATGAAATATTATGTACCTATAGAAAAGAATGAGCCACTGATTCACCCATGAATCATGATTAAATCTTGAAAATGATATGCTAAGTGAAAGAAGCCAGAGACAAGAGGCGTGTAGTTCATGATTTGATTTATATGAAGTATCCAGAATAGATAAATAATTTACAATAGCTAACTGTACTGTCAACTTGAGTAGGAAACACTTAGCGGGTTAATTTAGCACAGCTCCGGATATATCTGGTGATTGACTTTCTGATGAGAGAAAACTCACCTGGATGTGGGTGGCACCAACCAAAAGGCATTGTCCTGGAACATCTGTCTCTGGGCTTCCAGAGCAGTTCAGCTTCCCAATGTGGACCAGACAGTGCTCTGCAGTGAGGACCCCCTGTGACTTCTGGCTGGAGGTTGCCTTCTAAATACTTTATGTATCTTATATAGCTATACATATATATATCCTTTACATCATATACATAGATATGTATATATACATATACATGTGTGTGTATGTGTGTGTGTATAGTTCTTCCAGTAAATCCTGATATACAATTTTTTAAAAATAAAATGAAAAGTATTTGCATTCAACTCAAAAGCTTTCTATGACTGGGGAGAAGAAAAAATGCAAAAACATACAAAAACTAGAATTTTTTCCCAATGTCTTAAAAAATAAATCAAAGACAGTAGCTAGCTCTTGAAGACATGAGTACAATCTTTTTTTTTTTTTTTTTTTTGGTCTTTTTTTCGTTTTTATCGGTACCGGGAGTACAATCTTATGTCACTTAACAAGGGACATTTCTGAGAAATGCAGCAGGAGGCAATTTTGTCACTGTGTGAACATCATAGCATGGACCTAGTGAAACCTAGCCGTAAGAGGTCAGTCACTAGGGCAGTCCCTTGATACCATCAAGAGGTACACACAGGACGTGTGAGGCTGCCACAGTGTAACATGGCACAGTCTCAAACAAACTGTTGCATAGTAGGAGTGTTCTGTAAAACAGTGACAGAGTGGTAAATACATAAACCAAGAGCACAGTCATTGTCATCAACTTGTATGTGCTGTACATGATACAAGCTCTGCTTTTGTAGGATTAGCCTTGCAGCCTTTGTTTACAGCAGCATCACCATGAACACGAGTAATGTCATATAGCGCACTACAACATTTTGGTAGCTGCGACACCACGAGGTGATGGGAATTTTCAGCTCCATGAGAACCGGATGGGATCGTAATTGTATATCCAGTCTGCTGTGCATAGAAATATGGAAGGGTCATGCAGCACACACCTCTAGTAATAGATGGGATGTATGTTATTCAAGAATGTAAAGACTGGACTGGACTAACTTTGTGCTGATTGTATTTGACTGGTTTAGTTCAGTTCGATTTGGCTCCAGACTAGCTAGAATTCACACTCCTCCTGTCTCAGCCCTCAAGAGTGCTAGGATTACAGGCATGCCCAGCTTCTATTGTTTATGAAAGTAATGTCTGTTTATTTTAAGGAGATTCTAAAGATAGAAAAGCGTAAACAGAACCATGAACTTCCCACATTTATGCTTCTCCTCAGCAGGGAGTCGCGGCACACACCTGTATTGCCAGCACTCTGGGAGCCTGAAGCAGGTGAGTCAAAAGTGAAGACCACCATGGAAAATTCAGAGACTTAGTGATAAGAAAGAAAGAAAGAAAGAAAGAGAGGGAGAGAAGGGAAGGAGAGGAGGAGGGGGGAGGGGAGGGGAGGGGAGGGGAGAAGTGGACTGGGAATATAAGTCAGTGTAAAGGCCCTGGGTCCAATCTTCAGTACTGCAAAAGAAAAAAAAAAAACCTAGAACAACAAAGGCAGGTGGGTGTGGGTTTGTTTCATGTACTTCTGTGCACCAAGCTTTCCCATCAAAGCCTCCATCTGCACACAGGCTTACAGACTCTGAGACTGCCTGACACTGTTAGCCTCGAGGCAGCACCATCAAGTCTTCCTTAGCCACGATTGGAAAGCACTTCATTTTTAAGTCTTCCAGCTGCCCCAATTTCCCCTTCTATTTAGGTCGTGGAGTTTGAGAAAATACAAGTGGTATTTTCTCTAACCACAGGAAGAGTCCGTATACCCACAAAGGTGACCTGATAGAACAAAGTGGGTGGGACAGAAGAAAAAACTAACGTCCACGGAAAGCACAATCCTCACATTAAAATTTCCCAGCAGCCCTGTCGGTGCGGCCCTCTACAGCACTGACTGACCTCCCAGGAAAGCATTCTGGGGTCCATCATCGCCCCGATGCTGTAATCCAGCAGCCGCCAAGGGTTATTGTTAGGAGTCTTGATGCTCGTTCCCTCCCACTAGAGTTTACTGAATAGAATTACAGTGACAGAAATAAAGAAAAGAGATGCTTACAAAACACAGGATCCAGTTCAAATTTTATTTGTATACAAAAATATATTATAATGGGGAAAGCATATTACTATTTCCAACTATATATAATTAATTACAAATATTTTCATAAAAGCACTTTAAATTACAGAAAAGCTATGTTTTAAGAGAAAAATATAACATTAGCATAGATCATCTGTTCTAATACGTTGCACGTAGGTAAACAAAGTCAGTCTCACTGTTTGAATTGCCCAGAGGTAGACCCAAGAGCTAATCTTGGGGTGGGCTTAAGCATGGCCTGGTGGTTGAGGATTTCTCTCTCCTTCCTCTGGCAGCAGCTGATTTTCTAGTAGCTGAGTTTTGCAGGTTCTTGGAGTTTTGTGAAGCTTCTTTTACATGGTAAGAACTCCTTAGTTCACATACCTGTAAACAGGAGACCCGCACAGGTCTGTTAGTCACTCACAGAAGTGCATAGTTCCTACACTTCACCACATCAGTCTCAGACTGGCATCAAAGCACCAAACTTAATGGCCGGCTTCCCACGTAATGTGTCTGGCTAACTGGGTAACTGGACCGACTGAGCAGCCAGCTGCGATTTCCATGAAGAAGCAGGCTTGTTATTTGGATCTGATATGAACTGCGCTGCAATTATAATAATCTGTCACAACAGGTCTAGGTTCTATGATGTAGGATGGTGCAGCATATAAGAAAAGGGGCCATAAAATCTTCAAATAGGAAGAGATCATACAAAGGCTTTCCAGCTGATACTTAGTTCTGTCTGGGAGCATATTAAGAACAGCTATTTTTACGTAGCCACTTTCTGATCTAATTTACCTGGTAACGAGTATAGCATAGACTGCTTCTTAAAGAAAATTCACTAGAAAATATTAAGAGACTGTGACGAGGTTCTCTGAGGCTCACCGTATGACTGAACAAGACCCCGGCTGCCACAAAACCATTTGTGAAACTCATTCTGGAAGCTTACATTGATCAGTTGTCCTGTCTCTTGCAAATTTGTCCTTTCAAAGTAGAGTGTGTGTGTACGTGTGTGTGTGTGTGTGTGTGTGTGTGTGTGTGTGTGTGTGTGTAGAAAGAGTGTGACAGTCCCTCCTGCTAGTCTTCATTATTGTAGTTATGTTCTGATGTCTTCATTTTCCAATATTAGTCATCATTAATGTAACTCCTAAATCAGAAGTCTTGCGTATTTAATTCAAGTCATTTGGTAATTGACTCGGTCTCCCCAAGTCAATTCTCTCTTTGGCACCCAACTCTTACAAGTCAGACCTCACACTGGACCCTGGAAAGAGCAGGGAAACATAGGAAAATTACCCTGGAGCCCAGGATGGAGGCTTTCAGCTTGCTAATCATCCCTTCTCTGAGAAACCTGGCAAGCCATCGGGATGGTCATGCTCCAGCCTTGCTCACTTTCCATTCCCCAAACAAGAAACCATTGTTTGCTGGTGACCCGTTCTCACTGAACACAGGCTGCTTTAATGCAAGCTTATCCTCAGAAAATCTTTCTGAGCCACGCGGGTCCTATTTCTAGCCCTAAACAAGTCTTATGGTGTAACTTCCTGCCCCAGCCAAGCTTATAAACATTATAACACTTTGTCCATTAGTTTTCTTTGATTTTTTTAATACCAGGTATGTACTCACTTGCTAATGTTCTGTCCAGATCAGCAATAAAGTCTTCTAGCTCTTTTGTGTCTCCTAATTTGGCTGTAAAACAGGAGAGACTTTGGTTGCCATATTTTTAAAAATTTTTTATTTCACCAGTACATTTTAGATCTGTATCTCATTCATCATAGAGAACTTGTACCTGTACATGATAACTCTTGATTCTTCTCTTTGGTTTCCATATTAAAGATGATCCCCATGTCAAGTTTTCAAAGACAATGGAATTTCCGGGATTATGGAATGGATTGTTTTCACTTTACATTTATCCTCAAAAACTTATTGAAGTGTGTCCTGGACCAGCCCTAAGTGTAATTGGTTGCTGCCCGTTCCTTTTGAGGCAGTTTTGTTTGGGTCACTGCTCGGGGGCAACATGGCAGCTCTCAGAATCTTTCCAGCATGAAATGCATAAAGAACTATTGTTGTTCCTTATCCCATCATCCTACCTGAATGCCAGCACAAGGAATGGAGTCCGCATCTAGATACTGTTCTCTCTATAGCCTGGAGTATATTTCACTTGGTTCTGTAGTGTTTATTAATCGTGCTTTCCCTGAAATGCTGGATATTTTTTATTACGCACCCTGTGCTGGCTACAAATAGTTCATTGTTCTTAGTTTTTCAAGTCAATTTGCCACTGGAGGGCTATTTTTCCCTCTTTAATTTCTAGAGGATCAGGTAGCAAATCAGGGCACAGTTCAAGCTACCTGCTAGCCTGCTCTGTCTCTGAATTCCACAGATCCATTACAGACTGAAGCCTGGACAGTGGCGGAAGCCCCAGGGGTGGCTAACTTTGCTGAGTTAAGGAGGGGATTTTAAAATACCTCTTCCAAAAAGGAGAGAAGTTCCATCTCAATGCCAGACTGAAAACAGTGATGGAATCTTCACATTTCTTTAAGAGAACATTGAGCTCTCTAGCTGAAGACACTTTGCCAGTTCCAAAACTAAAAAATACCTCATGCATCCTTAAAAACTTTTTAGTTTTCTTAATAATCGGTAGCACCAGGCTGCAGGTGCCAATTTGAATTGTGTTACAGTACTGCTTGTCTCCTAATTGGTCATCTGAAAGTATTGCTTAAATAGTTAATGTAATAAAAAAAAATCCTCCTTTTTACAAAGCCAATCTGCTGAGTTTTAAATTTTAGAACCAACTAGTCTGGGAGGAACCCAGTAAAAAACTATCATTTGGTACAGCTTCATTTATACCACATGAGAGAACAGTCTAGAATGTATAAGTTCTCTTTTTCCCTGTGCCCTAACCATCTGATCTTGTTCTAACACCAATCAAAACCCTGAGAAATAACAAATTCACTTTACATTCTCCCCTTCTAAGGTATCAGCTCTATCTGTTTGCTTCCCATTTGGAAAGACTGGCAGGGATAAAGGAAAGCAGAAAGGGCTGAGAAGGAGAAGGAACTATAAAAGCAGAAAAACTCACACTCCAACTAATGAGCCTTACCTTTCCGAGGTGTGAGGGAGGGAGAGAGCAGAGCTGGGGCAGAATCTGTTGGAGAATTTAGTTTTTCATCACTGAAGCTGAAGCTGTTTCTGTAAAGTGAATCTGCACCTTCCAAAAAGAAGTCACACTCATTAGAAACAGTAGTCACTAAACTGTAGATTCATCCGTCTATTATCTATTGACAGCAATTTATCTGCAAAAGGAACAAAACCTATGATAAAATCTATCTGCAAAAATGGCAAACCTCTGATAAACAGGTAGGTTTCCAGATACTGTATTTATGCCCCAAAATGATTCAAGGAAGGGCAGAGTACATGTGCACATGTGAGCACGTCTCCAGTCAAGCACAGCAAAAATCCTCGCTTCCTTAAAAAACTATGATGGAATCATTAGGACCAGACCTCTACTTGCACACAGAAGCTACTGATCAAAAGTCAAACCCAATGACTGAGTCATGAAAAAATATCCTTCTGCCCTCTGAATTCCCTAAAACTACAAGCACAAAGTTGGGCCCCGTTACTATATTAATAATCTCTCCCAGCCAGACGTGGCGGAACTCTGGGAGGCTGAGGCAGGAGGACCGTAAATTCAGGCCGAGTGTGCTGCGCAGCTCTGTAATCCCAGTCCTCAGCAGTGTGAGGCAGGAGGATTGCTGCAAGGCCAGCCTGGGCTACACAGTGAGAACCTGTCTGGAAAGAGAGAGAGAGAGAGAGAGAGAGAGAGAGAGAGAGAGAGAGAGAGAGAGAGAGAGATCTAAGAAAAGGAACAGAAAAGAAAAAACTAAAAAGAAAGAAAGAAAAAAAAAATTGCAAGTTCAAACTCAGCTGAGGCAATCTGTGACTTAGTGAGACCCTGTCATGAAGTAAAAGATTTCTAAAAGGGCTAGAGATACAGCTAGTGGAAAGTGCTGGGTTCAATAACACACACAAACACCCGCACAAATCATCATCAGTATGACTCCCTGCTCATGAGAGAATTTTTATGGTGGATTTCCCCCAAGACCTTATAGTCTAGGGACAAGCTAGAGGAAAAGATGAAGATGTCCACTGGTCTGTCTGCCACAGACATGCAAGGGGTTTCACTGCTCCTGTTCTCACCCCTCCGGAGTGACAGGAGGGTAGGGTCTCTATAGAAGCAGGGCCACAGGAGGCCCAGAAGCACGTGCCCTGGAGCAAAGACAGTGTATCTGGGCCTCAGTTTATCCCTCAAAAAAATAGAAAGTCCCTCCCACCTTGGAGTGCTGAGATTCTATTTCTCTTGGTTCTGCAGGGGAGAAGGAAACCAGCCCCATGGGCCCACTGCCAGCCCTACTGCAGGGTGGTGACAGAGGGCCCAGAGGCAGAGCAGGCAGCGGAAGCAGGATGTGGCCACTGTGAGCACATGGCACAGCCTCCAGGTTAAAGCAAAAGCAGCCCTGGCTGTAGCAGAGACGGCTCTGGACAGGCTCTCCCGGTGAGGAGCAGCGTGGCTGAGCACTGAGGGCCTGGCTGGGTTCCTTATTTCTCTTAGGGTTCTTTTGCTTCAAGCTAATTCTCTTCAGCTCAGCGGAGACAAAAAGACATTGCTTTGGTTCTCAGAAGCCAAAATGAACTTGACTAAGTTACATAAGATATGTTAGGTATAAAAAGAATTAGCATTTCAGAAAGAGGTTTCTGGTCTGGAAAGAACTCAGTTTCATCCCTACAAGGCTACTGCATCTTCTTGGGAACACTGGTTGGCTTTTTCTCCTTCCTCCTTCTGACCAGGTGACCTGGCCACAGTCTTGTTTTCTTTTTTCCCACCTGTCTGTGTAGTCCATTTTCCAAAAAATGTCCAGAAGACCTTTGTGACTCACCCTCAAAACCTAATTCTCCCTTCAAAAGGTTCAGTTCAGGTCATCTAAAAGGACCGTGCAAAAACACTGAGCCTTATACCTACATTCCTCCCTCCCCCAAATAGACTCCTCAGAATGATGGTCCTCTAAAGACAAGAGCTGCATGACCAAGTAAGTTACAGAAACAACTGAGTACCCTTGATCATCCATGTGAACCATTCCAGAAAAGTCTTGCGATAAACCAATTTGGCCCTATTTCCCAAGTTTACATGGTCATGGGACACTTTTTGTGCCCTGCTGTTGTTAATAATTCCTCAAACACTGGCGCTCTCCCAAACTTGACTTAGAAAGTCCTCGGAGCCCTGTTTCATTTTTCAGCTGAGCTCTAGAGGACAGTTCCCTGTACCCAGGAAAGCAGCCGTGACCACTGCAGACCTAAGGATGCTCATTGGTATTTGTCACTGCAATGACCAGGGGACTCACCATGAGGAAAACTTGGGGAACATGGAGAGAAATGAAGCAAGACTTGGGGGCGAGGAAACTGCAGAGGGCCCCATGACAGCTGATAACCCAGAAGAGATATGAGACCCTTAGCACATTATCCTTGCTTCGGAAAAAATTCAAGAACTTCACCCGATTCCTGATTCAGAGTCCCAGCTCCAAAAACTCACTGGCTCGCAACTTGAGGACCTTTATCTTTATCTCCCTGAACAGCAGGCACCACACCTCACTCCACCCAGCCTCCTTGCACTACTGGGGCTTCGCCCATCTTCAGACTTCAGCTCTGTTCTGGCCGCATGTCAGCAACTTTATACCCACATATGATCATGCTTTGCAGAAGGGAGCCACCACAATGAGTTCACCTTCCAGGCAAGTAGACCGAAGACTACTGAGTGTTTGGGGAAGCAATTATTTCAACATGGAAAAGGCCATTGCAAAAGAGGATGGTACAGGATAGCCAAGGAGGAGTCAGACAAAACTCAACAACGCAAGTGGCTTGGGAAACACTGGAAAAGGAGCCAAAGACTCAGAAGATGGCCCCAATTTGTCTCTAATCTGACTCTGAAGGATTAGAGACATGCTGTGATCTAAGCACTTTCTCCAAATTCAAGACAAACGCGTTGGTGGTATAGTGGTGAGCATAGCTGCCTTCCAAATTCAAGACAACTGCATTTTACTTGACTGAGAAACTCAGTAGCAAGCTAAACCAACAAAGTGGTTAGCAGTTCCTCTTATTACTATACTGATGAATTCATACTTCCATAATAAAGGCCAAAGAGGAAAGAACTCTGAGTTACAATATTTCTATATATAAACATGCACCCAGACACGTCAGCATACCATATGCTCACTTCCCCTGCTCCAGACCCCTCCCACGCACACACACACACCATCAGCTCACACCCTGCCAACTCACTGCCGCACGGTGGCTGTCATCTCCTTCCATGAGGTACACAGTCTGGGCTAACCCAGCTCCAGATTCTGTGATGTTCCACTGTCAACCATCAAGAGGAAATGAACCCTCAGCATCCTAGAGCTGAATCCACCCCAATTAGTTGCACTCTGGTAAGTCTACTAATGCCATTCACATACAGAATGAAAAGAGCAACCCCAGAGCCCCAAGCTACAGCACTGTGGACAGTGTGGGCAGCAGAGACTAGGTAATAGGGCAGTAAACATCTAGGCACTCTGAGTGGCATTAATGATTTTTTTTCTCAATTTCTTAGCAAAATAGAGAACAGGTCAGAAGAGCAAAGGTCATCACACAGAATAATAGGAATACGATGCTAAGCCCTGGTTTTCTGCTCTATTTTGACAGCAGTGCAATGTTTGAAGTTTCTCTTCAGAGACTCTCCAGAAGAAGTTTTCAGCACAGAAGAACCTCAAATTCCAGACCTCGCGTTACCCTGTCCCAGTGAAATGTCTTTCCACGTGCTTTCACTAGGCACCCACAACAAACATCTCATTCCAGTGTCGTGGTAGATTAAAAGGTAAGCAAGACCTGTCCTCCTGTTCCTTCCACTCCCCTGGAACTAGATCTATTCCTTGCAAGATGACAGCCAGTTGGCCTGATAAAGTGACAGCAATGTGTCACTGGCTGATAGCATACCCACATACTACTGATTCAATGCCGTGCCAGGTACCGCCACTAACGGGGATTCAAAGGACTCAAAGGACTCATAACAGTGGTGATTCGGAGGACTTTGAAAGGTAGCACAGCTGGGTATTTCAGGGCCTTTAATGTCTACTTCAATCAGCTCTGAAGCCCTACCTCACAAGCATCTCAGAACCCCACTGGATACATCCATGACAGGTCCACATAGGGCACTGAAATCAAAACCTGGGCGCTCAGTTTTCTAAGACACTGCCAAAAGAAATAGAGGTGTATTCAATATACTAGTGCTAACTTTAGGTGCGCCAAATAGCTTGAGAAACTCCACGGCAAAAACAGAGGGTTGCTTAAAAGGCAGGTATGGACTTTGAGTTTGGGGACTTTGAGTTTGGGGGGTGGTGCTAATTTAGGGTTAGCGCCAACATGTGCTACTCCAGTAGAAAGGAAAACCACCGAGAGTAAACCTTGCCCAGAGCTTCTCTAAACATAGAACAACCCCACACATTTACGGCAAACAAACTATAGTAATTTACTGAGACAAAGGCAGCCTTGGATCGCTTTCCTCTTTTCCACAGGGGATGGCAGGGATGGGGGAGTGGTTCTTATCCCCAAAATCTAAATTCTTACAGCCTACTTAAAGTAGGGCACAATAATACAGTCTCTCATTTTACTGTGGCCCCAATTCCTGTTCTATGACTGCTTGATTCCTCTAGACAACTTACCAGGCATCAGAATAAGACCTGTCACTCACCAAGAATTCTGAACAGTACCACCAGGCAATCATGGCTGTTAACTGGCTCCATTCTTTCATGGCTTGAAAGAGTTCAAGTTCTGATGTCAGTGAGTCCTAGGCAGAGCAGCCACAACACACTGTCATTCTGTTCTCCCGAGGCCCAGGAGGTTCCCTCTTTTGGAATTAGGCCAGATGGTCTAACACTTGCTCAAGCTAAAGCCAGTTCCTCATTCCCTAAAATATCTATTATATCACAGTCTTAGCACACAGAGTAGACCTCAGACCTTTCCTCCCAAATAGCAAAACACTACCTCCTACAAAGAAAAATGTATGTGAGACTTCAGAACATCAGAGAAGTAAGATCATCCTACCTAAAACCAACCAGTAAAACATAAATACATCAGTTAGAATTTGAAATATAGTGAGTAAAAAGTTCATTAAAATGCATTTGAGAAATCAAGTTATACTTTTATAACTTTAAAAAGGATACTTTCTTAAAAACTAATTCAAACTAACGATACTCACAATTTCTAAAGCACCTTGAGGATCAGGTTTGAAGAAGACTTCCTTAGCTCCCAATTATATTTCCCCTTTTACTTTAAAATTTCTCCCACTAAAGTGCCTGATATTACTTGCTGGAAAGCAAATCTATCAGAAAGGAACAACTGTACTTCAGTCAAATTGACCATTCGAATCCTATCAGTAATATGAAGTTAATCTGCAATTGTGATTTTGTCCTCTTTGAGTGTTAGGAGTTCTGAACTTAACTGACCTGCTAGTTTAAAGGGAGATGTTTAAACACAACCACCACTGATAAATGGACACATGCTTTGGACTCAACAAGACTTTCTTCCCACACTAGCCAACCACCTACAGTGAGAGAACAAGGCTGTGGAAAATCAGCTTTTATCAGAAAAATGTTATCAGACAATGCTACCTAACTTAGCTGGAAAACAGCCCGAAGAACAGCAAAGAGATCATTAATAGCAAGAACTAATAAATAATCATAGTAAGGGCACGGTAAAAGTGAATTGCTGTCACTATCGGTCTCCTGGTTGCCCCCTTTGGGAGGCTGATCTCTCCTGCGTTTCTCCTGCAGAAAAACATCAAAGCACCATGAGCAGAACAAGCATCTGTGCTTAATCCTTGGCAGCAATTAAGATACACATTCTATGCTTTCTTGAGAAATGGCTACTGAGACACACACAATTCCTGCCAGGCTATTTCTAACCAGTCTTGTGGGGAGCAAACTACACTTACAGCAGAACTCACAGTCAGCCGTGAATGGGCGAGCTCTGGCCGTGTTCTGGCAGAATGGGGCTGTGGCTTGGAAAGAAGCTGTTCTTCACCATAGAGAAGCAATGACTGGCTTTCTTTCCCGTGGATGAGAGAATCTGTATGTGATGAATAACTTGCTCTGTGCCCCCATTTAAGTTTGGCCACAGGCACAGAGACAAATTTCAAAAAATTTAACACTTCCTTTGGACTCAAACTCAGACCTGGGTGGTGAGGGCCATTACCCCTTGACAGAAAGAACAGTAACAAGAAAGAACTCCAGATTTCAGGACGGAGAATCACCAGGAAAGACCATTTTCAAGGGCAGTAAAGGGCAAGATGTTTCCTGCATCATAGCACCCATCCAGGGACTAAAGGCTCAAGAATAAACAGAAAAAATGTAAATCTTTTCCCCCTTTTTTTTTTCCTCTGAAACAATACTTCACTATGAAGCTATGAAAGCTATGAAGTTCAAGCTGGTCTTGACCTTACTTTGTAGCCCAGGCTGGCCTTGAACTTGCAGCAATCCTCCTGCCTCAGCCTCCTGAGTGCTGGGATTCTGGGAATGCTTCACCACTGTCAGCCTAAAACTCACTTAAAAATGGTTTTGGAAACCATAATTTAAAAAAGTGTTTACCACAGATACCCATAATCGACTGGTACATTCAAGTTTCTGGGGGAAAAAAAGTTGTCTCTTTTACAAGGTTGTTTAACAGAGACCCTGAGAGTGACCTCCATCTCAAGAAAAGTCACCAGGAAAACACTTCAAGGGTTTGTGCCCCAGCCCGGCTGCTGGGCCTATGTGAAGGAAGACAGACACTCTAAACAGTTTTTCAATTTTGCAGTGCCGGAGAGTTTCAAAATTACATGGAGCAACACGTCTGGGAGCGTGTGCCCAGAAGAAAATGCAAGAAGTTATTTCAAAAAAAATTCCAAGAATAGCAGTTTATGAAACTTTCCTGCTTTCACAAATGTTTCAGAGCCGTGCTCTCACATGTCCCCAGCCGCCCCTCCCGTTCCAGTGGCACTTGGTCCACATTCTCTCAAAAGTTATGGCTCAGAGGAGACAACAGCGGAGGTCTGGCTCCAAGTGGGAGCCCTGCAAGGTCTGGCTCAGGTCCCGTGAGTCCCACCTGGCTGCTGCAACGCTCCAGGCTCGCCACACAGCTGGGCAGCCAGGCGGCCCATCGGGTCCTCCGGGTGCCAGCTCTGCAGGCCTCCTGGACCGGGCGCCCAGCGAGGCAAACTGAGGCCAAGCCCAGGCAGCAGCAGGCCGGGTGCCGGCCGCACTTACTCTCCGAGTCGCTGAAGCCGCTGCTGTCGCTGACGCTGGCGCTGCTCCGCCGCTTCATGCGCTCCAGGTGCTCCTCGTAGTGGAAGTGGCGCTGGTGAAAGGGCGACGCGAAGTCGGCCAGCACCGCATCGAACTCGCAGAGCGCGTCCGTCAGGTCGGCGGCCGCCGCGTCCAAGGCCGGGGCTGGGCGGGGACGGCGGGCTCGGGGTCAGGGATGGGGTCCAGCGCGCCCCGCTCCGGAGACCGGGTGGACTGCGGGGTCAGCTCACACGCGTGCGGCGGGCGTGAGCCCCGGCATCCCAGTCCTGCCGCCCGCCCTCCTGGGCGTCCTACCGGAGCCCACGGCGCGGAGCCCAGCTGGACGCTAATCGCACGGCCCACGCTTTCCCCCCAGTGGCCGGACCCCGCGCCGCGCGCTCGCTCGCAAGGGCTGGGGAAGGAGGCCGAGTCAGGATGAGCCTCACGCGTGGGGCAGGGTCCCCGCCCCCGCCCGAGACAGGAAGGCGGGCGTGTAAAGGCGCCCCACGGGCCGCGCTCCTCGGACCCCCACCTGGGGCCGGCCTTGGGGATCCCCAACCCCGGTCCTCACCTGCAGCCGCGGAGCTGCCCTGCACCGTGGGGGGCTTCATGGAGCGGCTGGGCTCGGCCCCCCGAGGCGCCGGCAAGGACCGAGAGCGGACAGTGGGGTTCGCCTCCGTGCGCACCCGCGCGCGCTGCTCCTCCGCCCGATGGCGAGCTGCCGGCGGCCGGGATCCCCGCTGCCCCGCGCTCTTATAGCCGCCCCGGCCTGGGCCGGCTGCAGCGGGCTGGGGCGGGGCCGCCCCGCCTACAGGCACCGCCCCCGCCACGCGCCCGCCGGGAACCGCAGTGACTAGCTGCCGCCGGAGCCCGGGTTACAGCCCCAAATATTTACCCGCCGCTTTCCCCTCTCACCCGGCCAACCCGACCCGTGGAAACGTCTGGTGTCACCACCGGAAACCCAGACTTCATTCTCCCTGGCGCTTGCGTTCTCCTAAGTCCGGGAGCCTCAGTTTCTTCCTCTGTGAAATGGACGTGGAAATGTGGAGTGTCGCCGGCTGGCTGCAAAAACCAAAGGGAGCCCGTGGCAGTGGGAAGCCCAGCTGGGCGGGTCCCCACGGGCGGGCCCTCACCGCACCCATTTCCCCAAGGCTCGAGATTGTGGAGGGATGTAGAGCAAAGCAGAACCTTGATGGTCGCTGTCTGCGAGGTCCTGAGCCCGGCTGTGCCCGCCCAGCTCCGACTTCATTCGGGAGGAGCCCATTAGAGGCAGAAAGGTCAGCGTAGGTGCGCCTTGCAGTGTCCACATTAATGAGTCAGCCTAACTTTCGGCCTGGCCTGGCGGGGGACCCGTCGCTGCAGAGAAAAGCTCCGGATTAGCCCAGGAGACCGCCGAGGGGTTGGGCCTGCCAATAGGGGACCCACATGCCGCTGCAGAGGCCGGCGTGCGCGCGCATCGGTGACCGCAGAGCTCTTGCCCTGCGCTTGCCTAGTATGAGGCCCTGTGTTACCGGCACACACACACACACAAAGACTAGAAAAAACCCAGTGAAATCTGTCAGTCTTTCAGCTGCGCTAGACATCTCTCAAGCGCTCAAGCCCTTGCAGCCGGAAGTTCTGCTCAACAGCAGACAGGTCCCGCCTCGGAGAGAGCAATTACTGCTAACCTGGGTTCTGCACGACCTCCCCGTGCCGGGAGCTGGCCTGGATTCATCCAGCTCCTACAGCAGCCCTGAAAGGCAGAGAAAACAGTCTCACAGGCAAGAAAACTCAACCCCCGCAACTCCCTGCGAAACTCCCCGGGTGGGTGAGATTGAGAACTGAGCAGCTGGAGAAGGCTCCAAATGGGAACCGGATAACCAGGTCCCGGATGCAACAGGGCAAAGCGCTTGTCTCTCTCCTGTCATCGCTTGTCCCTCTTTCCCCCATACTCCTGCCCTCCCTTCTCTTCCTCTCACCGATGACACCCACTGTTCGTGCCCTAAGGGACCAGAGCAGCCTGTAATCTGGGAGCTGAGGGCAAGAAGCTGCCAATCTGAAGTCCCTTGATTGACGACAGCACGGCCTATTGTCCAGGGCTACAATCAACATCCTCATACACAACTTGGTGCACACATTGAGCCCGTTCTGTGTTTACCTTTAAAAAAAAAATCTTTTAAAAGCAAAGCGTTTATTTTGAGTAATGGTTGAAATTCTCAGGATGAGCTGGATGGTGCAGCAGCTGCTCCTTGGGTTGGGGTGTCGTGCCTTCGCGGAATCCATGCATGAATCTGTGATACGCAATCTTGAGGCACCTCATGCGCCCAACCCCAGTAGTATTTCGCCTTCCAGCCTTTGCACTCCGGCTGTGCTTTCTCCACCTCTGCCTCAGCTCCACTTCTGAAGGAGGTAGGCCTTGGAGCCACGGCGGCTTGCAAACGATGCCGATGCCGTTCCCTTCCTCCTCTTCCTGTGTCGGGAGCCCAAAGAGCCACTTCTATGTTTATCTTCATTCCTTCCCTAAATTCAGATAAAAGGCACAAGTTAAAGGCTTAATTTTTTGAACCTTCTGGCTGGGTTTCTTCTCCTGTGCTTGGAAGCCCCCAGTCACCTGACTATAGTGAGGAAAAGATGCATAACCTCAGGGATCCAGTGTGACCTTGTCCTTCAGGGAGGAGGGGTGGGGAGCCCAATCTTTCAGCAGACCTCTGCTTAAATTACCGGTAACAATGCTTACTCTGAGAGCTGCCCACATTCCAAGTTTCAGAAGGTCATTTGGTCACACAGAACCACTTCCAGAAAAAGACTGGAGGCCGTCTTTGACTTGAAACAGGACAAGCACAACTTCTTATGTTTTTAAAGACCAGTTCTTTATCTTAATTGATTCGTCAGACTATTTGTGTTGTTGCAATAAAATACCAGGCTGCAAAATATATCAACAGCAGAAGTTTCTATCTCACAGTTCTGGAGGGTGGAAAGCACAAGGTCCAGACATCAGTGCTCAGTATCTGATAAGAGCTGCTTCTTGCTGTGTCACAGGGAAAGGAAAAAAAAAAAAAAAAAACTGCCTCCCTCAAACCTTTGATAAATCCCCTGCTGAATACTGTGCCTCTTAACGCTATCACATGTGCAGTTCTGTTTGGACATGTGGCCTGGTGCAGTAAGACCCCAGCAGCATCTCTTCTCCTAGGCACTGTTGACAACTCCTTTCTGGAAACATGTCCTGAGCATCCATCCAACCGCCTCATCCTTCTCCTCTGGTCTCTGCTGAGTCCTCTTCTTTATCACCACTAAACCCTGTTCCCTGGACATCTCACCTTGATCCTTTTGCTATAGCATCTCCAAATGATACAGGTGAAATAGTATAACTTCCAACCTGTTAGATGTCAGATTTCCCAAGTTGGTGTTCCCCAAAATCAAAGAATGAATTCTAAGGAACAACAGAGGTTAAGAGTAGGAAATTTTATTAAGATAGACAGCTTCTGAAACAAGAGGGGACCCAGAAAATAGGTTGCCAATGAACCCACCACTCAAAAGAAAGAAGTTTTATAGTGCAAAATCATACGTGCATACAAAATCGTAAGCTACAAATGGGGTGAAACAATGATCATCTCCCAGCACTCAGGAGACTGAGGCAGGAGTATCACCATGAGTTCAAAGCCATCCTGGGCTACATAGTAAGTTTGTCAGCATGAACTGCATAGTAAGACCCAGTGTCAAAATAAAAAGCAAAAAACAACCTATGATCAAGATTACAAGTATACCCACTTAAGTAATGTTGATCCAGTGGGGAGGCAGGTCATGTAGCAAATGTACAGGGAAAGAACAAGGACTTTTTTGGAAGAGATCAGTGAGGAGGTCCTGATCACCCACCCAGGTGCCTATTTAGAATATCAATTTCAGTATAGTGTTTATGAAAGAGTTTTCAGCACAATAAAAGAGAGAATATGAAGTAAAAAATAGCCTTTATTCCAAGGTCATGGAGAGGAGTCCATGACCATAGATGGTCCAGCCACCTCTACTGGAACATGGGGTATGGGATATATACATGATCTCTGATGGGGGTGACACTTAGGGCGGGCAATGATGACACACCAGAGGTGATTGGAGTTTTCTTTGCACACAGACAGGAAGGGGAGTTGCATTTAAGGCTGAGGAAGAAGCAGAAAGTTGTAGGCGTTCCTGCTTTGGCCTTCCGCCATGTTAGACCTCCACCATAACCATACAGTAATTTATTCTAGGGCAAGAACCTTTTACTCCCATCTTTGTATTGTTAGGAAAAGGGCAAAGTCTCTCTCTTACTACTTACTGCTGAAAGGGGGCACTGTACTGGGGTTCAGGAAGGTTGATGGGATGATGGTTGATCCCATGCAAAAGCTGGTACCAGGTGTTTTAGCCAGGAAAACTTCATCATTGGTGATACCCACATCTTAGACTGGGAAAACTAAGAGACAAGATGCTATGAGGAGGCAGGCCACTATCATATTTAAGGACCCAGAGGAGGTAGAAGGAAAGGTGTCTTTGATTTAAATATGCCGTTCCATCAGAACCACCTTTGAAGTTCTGAGGAAGACCAGTAGGGGCCGCTCCATTTTCGTTGTAGTCCTTGGGATGATCTTCTGTAACAGGACTTTAGGAACTACATCAGCAGTCTCCCTGGTTGTAGAAAAGGCTTTTATCCATTCTGACAAAGTACAAACAAAGGTCAGAAGATATTTGAGAGTTTTGTGGCAGGGCATTTGCATAAAATCTACCTGCCAGTCCTGACCAGGGTTGTGTCCATGACATTGATGAATAGGAAAGGAAGGGAGTGCTATGTGTCCCTGAGTAGAGGTTTTACTATAGAGATGACAGGTGTAAGTTGTTGAGACCTCAGCGTGTCTGGGTCAGTCTGCATAAACACAATGAAATAAAAAAAGTCATTTTTAAGATCTATGACTGTAAAGTGAGTGGTGGAGGGAGGGATATGAGAGAGCATGGTATAAGGGCTTGGCACCCCTGGGTGGATTGGGGTAATGGCATTATTGATTACCCTAAGGCCCTGCACTAGACGATAAGACCCATCAGGCTTGAGTACCAGGAGAATGGGAGTATTATAGGGTGAATTGGTATCTTTAAGAAAACCATTATCTAAAAGGCACTTGATTATAGGTTTAAGTCCCTGTAAATGTTTGGGAGCTATGGGATATTGGGGAACACAAGGAAAAATTGAAGAATCCCTGAAATGAATTAAAATAAGCATGGCATGGGTAGCGTGAATGGAATTGGAGGTATCCCAAACTTTGGGATCAACCAGAGAAGGGAGGGGAGGGGTTAGCTTTGTGGCAGCACACTGTGAGGATATCTAGAGGACAGAGAGCTGTGGGGAGAGAGAAAGTAAAGGAGAAGTTAAGCTTTTGAAGAAGATCTCTACCTAAAAGGGAATGTGTGACATGTTGAAATTTCTAGGAAGCTATGGGTAAAGAAGAGAGTCTGGAACCTGCATAGAATAGGCTCTGTCTGCAAAGGCTGCATACGTTGGTCATCAACACTCACTACAGAGACTGAGGACTTAATACAAGGGCCTGAAAACTCAGGAAGAACACTGTGTATGGCCTCTATGTCCACAAGTACAGAGAATGTCTCACCTGAGACCTCCAGTGGGACTTGGGGCTCTAAGAAGGATACCTTGATGGGGGGCTGTGGACCCTGAGGCCCATCAGTCTTTAGCAGCAAGTCCGAGTAGATCAGTCAGTAATGAATCCAGTGGTCATGAGATCTCTTATGATGGCAAGGAGTTAGAGGATGGCTTACCCACTCTCTGGTGGCTAGGATAGTCGCTCTTTCAATGGCCTTTGAGATTGCAATAGGGGCAAGACCCCAGAAGAACACTGGGGTTGGGGCACTCTCTTGCCCAATGTCTTCTTTGTTGCACTTGAAGCATGGTCTGGGAGGGGCTCGGGCAGCTCTACCCTGTGTCGGTTTACCTGTCTCAGAGCTCCAAGTGTCACTGCTAAAAGATTAATTGTTATTTTTCCTTTTGATTTTTATCTCTGTTGTTGAAAGCATGAAAAGCCATATTAAGAAGGTCTCCCTGTAGGGTTTGAGAGCCAAGTTTAGCCTTTTGTCTTGGGATCTGGCTCACAGAGGAAGGTGTCTGTCTCCTCCACAGTCACAATACATCTGGTTTTCATCTTGGGTGAGTGTACAGCTTTAAGTCTAAAGGAGACAAAGGCAAAGTATCAAGTATGCAGAGTCAAATAATAGAATCAACAGGGTATTTATGATTATAACTTTAGTAATGGATTCCTATAAGGAGGATATGCATAAGGTCTAGGGAATTTTAGAAACTGACATGTCATTCATTTGCCATACACACATTTAGGTTTTACAATTGTATAAGTATC